GGGGCGGGGGCATTGTGGGGGGCAGACAGGGCCTGCACACATTATTTGCTCAAACTGCCAGAGGTCTGAACCAGTGAATCCACTTAGAGATTCCCTTTGAAAACTTTATTTTCTTCTGAATGGGCAGGCGTTTGCTCGAGGGGATTTTGGAAGATGCAAAGTTTGTAAAAATTCTTTCATGAGATGTGGGTGCCGCTGGCTAGACCAACATTTACTGCCCATCCCTAGTTACCCTCCCCCCACCTTGAGAAGGTGTTGGCCAGCTGCCTTCTTGAACTGCAGTCCATGTGCTTTAGGTTGAGCCACAATGCCCTTAGGGAGGGAATTCTAGGGTTTTGATCCAGCGACAGTGAAGGAACGGCGATATATTTCCAAGGCAGGATGGTGAGTGGCCTGGAGGGGAATTTGGGTGGTTTTTCCATGTGTTTCCTTCTAGAGGAAGTGGTTGTGGGTTTGGTTGGTGCCGTCTGAGGATCTTTTGTGAATTTCTGCAGGGCATCTTGTAGATCGTGCACACTGCTGCTACTGAGCGTTGGTGGTGGAGGGCGTGAATGCTTGTGGATGTGGTGCCAATCAAATGGGCTGCTTTGTCCTGGATGGTGTTAAGCTTCTTGAGTGTTGTTGGGGCTGCACCCATCCAGGCAAGTGGGGAGTATTCCATCACGCTCCTGACTTGTGTCTTATAGATGGTGGTACAGGCTTTGGGGGAGTCAGGAGGTGAGTTACTGGCCGCAGTATTCCCAGCTTCTGACCTGCTCTTGTCGCCACTGCGTTTATGCTGCTGGTCCAGTGTTTTCCCCGGACACTCACCACTGTTATTGGTGTAGCAGGTGAGATGTAGCTTGCCGTAATAGAATTCCAGGCCGATGATGGCAAACATGAGGATAGCGAAGAAGAGCAGCAAGCCAATCTGCAGCAGGGGCACCATCGCCTTGATGATGGATTTCAGCACAATCTGCAAACCTACGGTGGAACACAAGGCACAGTCAGAGCAGTACACCGTTCCACTCAGACTGCTGGAGCTTTCTGTCAGCCTCACTGCTCACCTCCCACCACACAAAATAACTCTCACCTCAAGATCACAGAAATAACACACGGGCGCAGGCCTGACGGGAGGTAGTGTGAAAGACAGACAGAAGACAGTCATAAAGAATGGGACAGGGTCTGGGTGTGGAGTGAGCCAGGCAACTCGGCAGAATAAGGGGTGGATGGATAGGGGTCAGAGAGAGGGGGACGGGACGGAGAGAGGAGCGAGAGGGACAAGAGAGGGGACGGAGAGAAGGAGACAGGACGGAGAGAGGAGCGAGAGGAACTAAGAGAGGGGACGGAGAGAGGGGGACGGAGAAGGGGGGCAGGACGGAGAGAGAAGTGAGAGGGACTAAGAGTGGGGACAGAGAGAAGGAGACAGGACGGAGAGAGGAGCAAGAGGGACTAAGACAGGGGTCGGAGAGAGGAGGACAGGA